CATCACTCCTCACCAATATTAAATGTATGTATATATATCTGGGTTTGCAGCTATGTGTAGATATATAAATATGTATATATATATATATATATATATAACGTCCAAAAAGGAGATTCGTTTAGACTATATATTTTCTGTACTAATTTGAAGACCAACAATTAATTTGTAGGATACAAGAAAAGATATGTAGATATATATTATATGTATATAGCTGGTACTTGGTTATAATTATATATATAGTTATGAAAAGAGTGATGAACTTGGAAAGTTTGGGCACAAACAGAGAGAAGTTTGGTTAGAAGATAAGAAGAGGGATGATAGGGAAAAAGAGCACGTACAATGCCATATATATACTACCATACTGCCGTCTATTACCTAATTCTACATTTTTACTTTTAAATTTAATATATAATTCAATTAATAATTAGTTCCAAAATCACATTTAATATATTAAAACTATGTGGTATATTTTATTCATATTCAACACCTAACTTATACAAAAAGTAATTATAAAGTGATTTAATATAAATTTAAAGTGAACTTAGAGTGTATGTCAACTTATATATATATATATTCTTGAAATATATACCATCAATCCAAAAATAATATTTAATATTGTGCCCAATAAACTTTGTGCCCTGCATAACACTTACCTATTTGGTTTCTAATTCCAATTTTATTTTAATTTTACATATTTCTTTATTTCATTAATAAGGAAACCTTTTCAAAGAAAATTATTATTTAATATATATTTACATATTTTCTTTAAAAAAATAACTAAATCATAATATTGACATGATACCATGACTTAAATTCTAAAAAAAGTAAACAATTAAACTAATGAATATCATGAAACTAGAACTCAATTATTTTGTTGTAATGTCTCTAACTTCCTATAACATAAAATTAAACTAATTATTTTTTAGTTTTTATATTTCAATTATGTATATAATTAATATAATTCAATAAATATAAATATATTCATGATATATAATTATTTTAATTATTTGTATGTACCAAGTTTAAAATCATTAATATATACATTTTATATTATTCTTTAATTATCACATATTTAATTATTATTAGAATTAAATATTTTAATCAATAAATTTTTATTTACATCATATTTTTATTTTTTATATTTACATTTATAATTATTAATCATGTATTACGTATGGTTATTTTCTATTATATAATATTATAATTAGTACTATCTTAATTTTATACAGAATCAAAAAAATATGAATAGATTACAACAACATAGATATTAGTAATTAAATTACACTATTCATATTTAACATG